TCTTTTACTGAAGAATGCATGTTCCGAGAAAGCAGAAGCACGTCAATATCAAATAAGAGGTACAATATGAGCACATGGAACTTGATTCATCCCAAAATTCTTCTTCTTTTCCCAAGTTCCAAGTTTCTTAAAGTTTAAGTCAGGATGTTGTGTGTGTGTATATATCTGTTAGTGATTATATTCTCCTCCGTTGGCTCTCCTCATGCAGCAACGAAATGCCATCCGAGAATGAACCAAAAGCCTCCCATATTATTAATGGCAATCCGGATGATTTGGTGAGTGAGTTGACTCTGTTGAAGGAGAAAAACAGAGATATGGAGAGTGAATTGAAGGAGATGCAAGAGAGATATTCAGAAATAAGCCTCAAGTTTGCAGAAGTGGAAGGTGAGAGACAAAAGCTTGTAATGACGGTACGTAACCTCAAGAATTCAAGGAAGAGCTAGCAAGGAGACAGATGAGTTGTATAGTTGGAAGTAGAAGGGAATGCTGAGACTGAAAAAGGAATAAAGGCAGCACTTCCTTCCGGGTAAGTAAATTAATTTGTACAGAATTTATACAAATGTAATTTAGTTTGTAATTTCTCTTGATTGACGTAGGCAAATATCTTCATTACATTTTTTTATTTCCCTCTCTTTTTAAAAGGTTTGTCACGAGATGTATGTCGCTTTTTTTTTCCTGGATAAAATGATGAAAACGGAGCTCGTTGCTAGTGTTTGTTTCTTTTATGTCACTACTTGATCTTCACATGCTTGTGTATAATATATACCCATATTTCATTAGTTAACAATCAATTTATTGTTATAAACAATTCAGACTTGTATTTTTTATTATGAAATTAAAGCTGTTATAGTATGTACATGTACATTAATATAATCAAATTTAATTTGTAACCTTTTTTTTTTTTTTAATTTAATTTAATTTAATTTTTAAATAAAATTCATGATGTTTTTGTATATCTAGGAATAAGAAAGAATTATAAGATCCTTTCGTCTTAGCTGGTATTCATCTTTTTGTTAATTTGGTGATTGAGTTACTTAAAAAAAAGTATTTCTATATCTCTATGTCTTCTAATCAAAATTTTGTTTTATATTTTAATTAGATTGGGTATGTACACATTCATTTTAATTAATTTCTTGTCTTCATAATTTTATTACAAATTAAATTTGACAGTACAACTAAGAACTATTTATCATAGATTATTGTTGATAAAAAGGAAGAAAATAGTACATAAATGTAAAAGTCATGCCACTGACACCATCCTTCACGAATGATTGAAAATTGAATACCTTTGATACGAGAGATCCACTTGTTTTACCGAACAAGATGTGTTAGAAAACCCATTCTCAACTTTTTTAAAAAAAGCTTTGAATGTACTCCTGCAGCAGTAACATCTAGAGAGAAGTCTCAAGAAGATACTTCCAAATCTATTTCATGTCTTTTTATGGCTGAAAAAATAATCAACTGATTAATAATAATAATAATAAAAATCTAATCTCTTTTCTAAAAGTGAATAATACCACAACTACTAATAATTTTGAGCGCGGATGAGGTTGAGGATACTTCTATTGGGAACCATTAGATCAATCATGTCCATCAAAAAAGGAAAAAAAATTAATGAAGAAAAGAAAGGAAAATAATACAACAAGTATTTGTTGTTGGTGTGACATGAAAAGGCATTGGTCTTGTACCCATTTATACGTGAAAAACATCAAATTAATATCTATCAAGCTTCGTTAATAGAAAATGAGAAAAATGTAGGGACAAATTTTGTTTATCAAAATAATGCTTTCGATCAGTATGATACATTTTGATATAGTTATTTTTTTTTTTCTTTTGACATATTTGGAGATAAAAATATAAAAGTACAGAACTTAAAAAGTAATAAAATCATAAATTAAATACGGAAGAAAAATAATAGAATTTAGGGTTTACATTTCTTACACAATAATTTAGAACGTCTAATTGGGATACGAGAATTACTCTTCTAAAAGAACAAACGAAAATCAAAAAAATAAACAAAGAATAATATGTTGAGCATTCTAAGACGACATTCACTACCTTTTAAAGGAAGTCCGGGTGGTGAACAATTCAATACCCTCTTATTGATCGAGATCTGGGTCTCGGTTCTCTTGATATAAAATAGTTAATGAAAGTGCGAGCTACACTATCCCAGTAAAAATATCATACTACTCACCGATACAAAAATTAAAAGTTTGTAAAAATCATAAAAATAACCAATGAACATCTTGATTTAAGTAAATTCATTTATTATAAAGAAAACCATTTATTGCTTATATTTAACGTTGCGAGATTTTCAAAATCGACTTATAGAGATAATAACTTAAATAACATTCTAATTTCATTTTCGAGTGAGCAATAACAATCACTTTCCCTTTTTATTTGTCTGCTGGTATCCCTGAGGGCCCATAAGGATATCCCACTACGTGTGAATCAATATCAAATATTTTGAACTAATCGACCGTCTCCATATCCCGTTTGGAATGAGTGCCAAAAATACTATCCCCCACCATCCCGTCCAGTATGAGGATGAATCGGATCGTTCCTATACCTCGTCCGGTTTGAGCACTAAAAATATCATTCATCGATACCCCATCTAGTATGAGACAACGTTCACGGTAGAGTTTCCTATGTACCCGGTCCGTCCACCATCTCCCAGGATATCTAGTAAGATTACTATTTATTAATTCACATGACCAAACAATTTTTCGTTTGCATATTAATTTTTAAATTTCACAAATCAACCGCAAATCACGCAAGACAAGCAATATATATCAAGAAAGCACGATTGAATCATTTAATCATTTTAGTATATCATCATGTATTTAAAGTTGTAAATTTAACAATCAGTTAAGCATGACAAATAAATAATTAACTGATTCCGGATCTATTAGTAACCTATAATTATTCTCAAAGTTTTCTAAATTACACAAAATACCATATTATTGATTATTAAACTTCAATTCCATAACATATAATAAGGTGAGAGATTTTTACCCAAATCGGTGTCCGAAATACTAAATTTTTTACTGCGCCTACTCTGGTGGTCCTCGTTTCCTAAATTTTCTTATGAAGATTAAAACACGCTTCACGTACCTTAAAATATCCCAAAAATCTAAAATTGGTGTTAAAAATCTTTTTTCGGCCAATTTTAGGATTCCGGCACGACGATACCACCGTGCTCTAGCGACGGCATCGTTGCCCGCAGTGGCAGTTTGCCTCGGCCTGGCTGTTTTTGGCCAGTTTTGACCAAATTTGGCTGGTTTTATACTCATCCATGAGAGAAAACACGTTAGGGGGCCTTGGTTGGCCGAAAAAAAGTAAAAAAACAAAAAGCTACTAGTGGTGAGATTTTTCAATGCGGCGGCTCTGCTGGCTCACATTCGCGATTGGGCATTTTTCTTCGGTCAATCTATAAAAAACAGAACGGAGAATACAATGGTAAAAAAATTACACGAAATGGAAAACGGAAAGGGGCTCATTGGAGGCAGTTGTGGGTTTCGCTCGCGGCGGCGCTGCCGGTCTTTGCCCACGGTTTCACCGGCTCACCCATCGTTCCTTTTGCTCCAATTTGGTCACGGAGGTGCTTAAAATCAAATTCTGAGCGGATAGAAGAATTTTTACCTTTTTTTAACGGTCGGAGGTGGCTCTGGCGTGGTGGCGGGCGGTGGTCGGCTCTCTTCTCCGGCGACTGGTTTTTCTTCTCCAGCAGGAGGCTGGTGGCTAAGGTTTGGATTCAGTATGATGTGAAATATTTATACCCGTCTCGCGTTAATCTTGGTCGCGTTTAAAGAGAAAATAAATCTGAACCGTTCAATCCGATTTGATCTCGACCGTCCGATCGTATTTAAAGAGGGAACGAATCTGGGTCATTCGTCGCGTTTAATTGCGACCATCCGATCGCGCCTGAGGAGGGAATAGATTTGGACCGTCTACGCATGCGGGAACGCTTCCAGACCGTCTGATTGCAGGGCACGCAGATTGTCAGCGTGGCCTCCCGTGTGGCACTAAGTCAGCGTGCCTTGCCACGCGGCATGCTCCGGTTCGTCGATATTACTGACTGGGCGGTTCTACATGGTGTATTTTTTTTAATTGCATTCTGACCATTAGTTTCTGATTTTTCTTTCAAAAATATCATCCGAATCCAAATTTTTACCAATTTTTTCTAAAATTATTTTTAATTTTATCCTCAACTTATTTTTTTTCATAATTTCACATTAAATTAAAATTCATTAATTTCAAAAATAAATTTTTATATATTTTTTTATGTTAAAATTAATTACGAGTCCAAATTCCGGGTTCGGGTATTATAAAAATTGTTAAAAGTAATTAGTTATCTTATGTATTTTTTGTTATTTTCTTAAATTATTTGTTATTCAGATTTAAATATTAGTATGTTTTAAACTATCTTTTAGTTCTTAATTTAACTTATAAA